GTACTGCTTAAATGTTATGAAAGTGTTTTCTGTCTTAAGCAATTTAATACTTTAATACTGAAAGAATAACGTACGATTGATTGTACATTAGTTATTTTAGTACACAAATTCACTTTGATAGTGACCCAAGGAAGGTTTGTAAATAATGTTGTGCCTCTCAGGAGTTATTCGTATTTTACTTTACTGTAAACCAGGCTGACTGTTCATTTACAGAAACAATCAGTGGATAAACAGATCATTAACAGTCATTAAGTTATTTTCATTTTTAGCTCTTGTAAATTCATAACCGATATCTTGTTTACAGCTGTGCTACTTCTCTCAAACAATATAAAGTGTAAAGTTTGTCGTTTAATGGCATCTGAACGACCTGGGGCATGAAAGGTTCGTGCCCGAGTGGGAGGGAAGCTGATCTGAGCTTAGGAAGGGGGGCGCACAGCCGCGGGAGGAGCTGCACGGCGCTCTGCACCGTGGGCGCGTTGTGTGTTGTGTTTGTGGACGGGCTTCTATGCTTCAGCTGCGCTTCTTACACAGCGGATGAAGATGCACTTTGCTGATGGAAACGCTGTGACGGTCAGAAAGCGCGCCGGCCGTCTGTTTGACTGAGCGTACTCCGGCGGCCATGAACAGCGGGCTCCCCGCTCCGGCTGCTGGTCTCGGCGGGGTCGGTATACCCGGCGCCAGGCTTAAGTTTTGCCGCTATTACGCGAAAGACAAGACCTGCTTTTATGGAGACGAGTGCCAGTTCCTGCACGAAGATCCGTCCGTCGCCGGCCTGTCCGCGCACGGTAGTGCGGGAAACCCGCCCCCCCTGTCCCTGAGCGGCGCTGTCGGGACTACAGCAGCGTTTCCCTTAGGAGGAACCGTGGGGGCCTCCGTGCTCGGCGCAGGAGCAAATATCCCGAAAAAGACCGAGTCGGTAGGACCTGCAGACCCGGTTCTGGAGAGCCAGCTGTTCACCAGTAAGCCTGATTTTCTCCAACATTGTTGGCGGGACACAGGCCCACGCGGCACCTTGTTTTCCCCAATAATTTAGACGGCTTCCTTGCATTCGATTCCGCATGGTGTGAAAATCGACGCCGAGGCTTTAGTAAGGCCTAATATTTGACCGCTATTGCAGTTTAATTTCATAACTGTCTATGCATTATAATGTCACCAGATAGTATTTTCTTTGTTCGTGTACAATATTCTTATACATAATCAGACTTAATTGTAGTATGAAACTTTGATTTTACTTGATAGCCCGTTAGTATTTAGCGCGATGTAAATTAACAGGGCAACATTTAGGTCCTGTAAATTACCCTTTGCCATCATTCTGTTATATTGTATTAGATGTGCCATGAATGAAGACGCATTTGAATTAATTTTAGTAAATTTAATAGCAAGTTATTTTGCCCTGGTATTCGTTGCTACCCAACAATCAAATTACGTAGCGTACCTAACAGAAGAACATTAAATTAACAAGAAGAATTACTGTATTATTATTTACATTTTAGAAGTATTGGGATTTTAATAAAAATCTCAATTTTAACCTCTCTTTTAAAACCTAATAATTTTTGTTAACATTATTGCTATTTTTGCGTGTGTCGTTTTTAAGCGATAAAATTCATAAGCTGATGTATTTTTCTTGTGGGTTTTAAATGTCTGTCTTACCAATGTGTATGTATGTGTACACACACACACACACACACACAATATATATATATATATATACATGTGTGTATATATCAGTACCATGGACAGAGTAGGTAAAAGTACAGTTCTGAAATCTTATCCACTAAAGAATAGAGTAGTATTTTTCCTTGTTCCATCTGGCTCACCACGAGACATACAGACAGGTAGACAAGAATATATTTGGTGGTCAAAGTGAAGGGTCAGCCAACATGCAGTGTCCCTGGGGCAACTGGGGTTAAGGGCCTTGCTCAAGGGCCCAAGAGTGGCATCGCTCTGCCAGCCACGGGAATTGAACTCGTTGTATAAAGGATAAGATGAAATTTGAAAACACCTGTTTCCTGAATAACCTGTTGCATAATGTTCCAGAACCAATAGTTGCACAGTTTGCAGTGCGGGACAACATGCACATCAAATTCACACCCCGATTGCTGTACCGTGAATGCCAGCATGCAAGGATCACTGCACCATTGCACAGACAAAGAGTCAAAAAATGTAATTGATGACTCTGCTGCATTTGTGCATTTTGCAGATTTCTCCCAGCAGTGATTGTTAAACCAGGATAACTGTAATGACTGCTTATGATTACTCAGGGTCATTTTAGAGTTCATCTTGAGTTCATCTTTTTGTGTTGTAGTCCCAGGGATGGAAGGTGGCCTGAGCGAATCCAGCCTGACTAACTCCTACTTCAGTAGCAGCTTCATTGGGGTCAATGGGTTCGGCAGCCCTGCCGAGTCAAAATTCTCCATGATGCAGGTATGATGCAATGGGGCTGGTATGCAGCTCCATCACTAACCTGGGACCTTGCAGAGAAGAAGTCGCATAACTGTAT